CATGTATTAATTACCTAATTTGCATAATTAGTTAATTTTTTGCTGTTCTATGGCTATTGCACTGATGTCTAAAAACCACTCATTGGATTTCAATGAAACTTTTAAATAGTACCCATCACATTTCAATGAACCTAAGACTATGCACCATATTAGTTTTTGGTAAATATTTATGCTTCTTAATCACCTAATTAACATAATTAATTAATACTGATATCTCAAGTATTGATCATCACATTTGAATAAAACTTGGTACATAAATGCTCTACGACAATAGACAGCCTTATTAATTTTGGGTTAAAATCTGTTCATATTAATTCTCTAATTAGTATAATAATTAATATTTTTTTGGTTCTAATCACATTTCAATGAAACTTGGTACATTGTGGCAGACCTTATTAGTTTTACACCTAAATCTGTTCATATTAGTTACCTTATTTGCATAATTAGTTTTCAGCTATTCCATCAATATCTCAAGTATAAGTAATTTTGAATTAATTTTTAATGTGTCTCCAAAACTCTCAGCACACGGGAGTTCTTTCTAAGCTTTCTTTGATTTTATGCTGTTATTCACAAAATCAAGATAAAAATATATAGTCACCAAACTACTTTTTGTACAAAACAAGTCTCCGTGAAAGTGGTGGTTTTTGAGCTACATTTACCATTGGTTCCTATGTTTATTATTAACATAATCCTCACCATATCACAAAATTTAGTTTGGTTACAAAATGATGAAAAAGATGTACAGTTGTCACAAATTATTAGGAAATTCGGAAAAATACCATTTATTTGTTATGAAATCATGCTTCAACATGATTTCTAGATAACTTTTGTATTATTTCAGACAGTTTATAATTCATACTGAAAAAAAATGAAAAGATTATGACATGTGTCCAAATTATTTTGGTTGAATATCTGATCTACAGCAAGTAAATACCAACCTAAAACTGATAACATTTTATATAGCATACATAATATGCTTATAAATAGGTAGCTGAAGCGTAGCAAACATTTACTTGCTTCTTATAACTTGTAAAAGTAACTGAAATAAGACATTATATTAATAAGAATATTTCTATTTTACAACCCAATTATATGCATGCAATATTTGTTGAAATATGGTTATCCAATTAAACCGATATTTTCATGACATACAGCTTTGTACATTTATTTCAGTTTGTTTCCTCAAAACTACGAGTTTACGCTGTCTATTTCACTTATACATCAATGCATATAGGTAGTATTTTGATATTGATGCAGTATACATCCCAATCCTCCAATTTACAGACTGTCCAGTTACAGCAAACAAGAGGTAAAAGATAAAGACCAAAAAAATGTATACTATGATAAGATGTTGATGATTTTAAAAATAACAATAGACACAGCAACAGATCTAACTTTGTGCCTCTTATGTTGGGAAGTTGACATGACAGTAAATTTAGGCATACTTTGGACCAAGTACAACCCCGTATTCAGAAAGTACCGGTAGACATGACAACATTACTTGATAACTTGATGCTTGTCCATCTGATCTCATTTCTTGTAAATGACTGGACTAATTTTACTCAAATTCTGTACAAGCATGATTCATAATGGTATACATATTCGCTTTGATTTATTTTTTCCGCTTTGATGACAGTGACACTGGTAGCCATTTTATTCACACCATGTCATGCTTGGGTTCTTTCTTCCAAACTTGTTATGGACATCACTTATAAAACAAGTCAAGTCATAGTGGTAAACATTTGCATTAGATTTGTTTTTCATTTTGTTGTAAAACACCATTCCTACAAGACATCAAACATTTCTGGAATGTGCCAAGGTCATTTAAACTTTGTGTGTGACATCACACATAGTGTGTTACTAATGCATGTCATTTTGTGTCACAACTTGATTCAAAATGTCTTACTGACAGCAATGTTGATTTGTTCTTCCTTTGATGCAACACGGATTTTGTTTAAATTTTGTGCATAGGTTAAATGTTGACATCTCAGAGCTTACGACGCAATGGACGAAAAAACAGAAATGTTGCTCCAGTATTTTGACAAACAAATTTACCATGCAATATGCAGTAATTTTAGAACCATGAAAAGTTGTTTTGGATTTGCTGATTCAAAAACTGCAGAATATTTATACAAAAAAACTTGAATTTCAATTGAACAAAGGACTCAGATTATAGGGCTTCACATGTGGTGATGAAATTATGTTTTAATCAGATTTGATTTCAACCCATGTACGCCATCTGAACTACATCAATAATGTACCTAAGCCTCACTGATGAGTTTATCAGTTTAAATATGTGTACTATTGATTAAGAGCAAAGATAATACAGTGTACTTGTGTGCCATCTCCACACATGTTATTTACAGCACAAACAATGACCTGATTATAAGTAGCTGTGGAACACACCTGAAGTGACATACCAGGATAGAACATTTATGATAACAAGATGGGATCTGTTCTACAGGCACTAATGCATCTATGGCGAATTGTTATGATTGAATTTGTAGTTTGGGATCAAGTGCATTGTGGGTAACACACTATTGACAATTGGGGTGGGGTAATATAATAAATGTTTGGGTTCATCTACCTTTAAATAACATGTTCTCAATTTGTCTGTGAAATTCTCTAGAAATTACTAAGCACTGTACTATTTAAAAAACTACACATCTGAAACCTTAGATACATCAGCAGGTGTGTTATCAAAGAAACACCAGCTTGCAGTCAAAGGTCAAATAACTATGTGAGCATTCAACTTTGGTAGACATGCATTAATTACAGAACAGGTCGTAGACATATTGCCCACAATCAATAGTTAAAATAGTGCAGTCCAAAACTCAGTTCAAATTGTCAGTGTTCAATCATAACAGACCCAGTAAAATTGCATTAAACACTGTATATTTGTAGTGTTCAAGCAGGACAGACCCAGTACAAGACCAAAACAAGCTGACAATGTATACCTCTGATGCAATTTCCAGAAAATATTTCACTGCTAGATCAAAAACCCAGCTTTTTGTCAGCAATTTACATTAATTATATGCCAAATATATGATTACTTGCATATGTGTCAAGATTTCCATGAGAACCGAGTGAGATTTGTAGGCAGAAAAGAAAAACTAAAAGTTTCTTGTGAATAAACTTGTCAATCACCATTACACAACAGCGATCGAAAAAACTCATTCATGAGTAGGCTTTGTCTTTACTTAAACTGACTAATCCAAGGTTATGAGAATACCACCAAGTATGCATGAAGACTGTACAGCAGTCATATCAACCAACACAGACTGTACAGCAATCATTTCTATTTCAAGTAATAATTCAATGAGAGAAAATAAGATTACATTCAGTAACTCAATTTAGATTCTATTTTCATCACACTGCAAATGTGAAAAAAGGAAATTGTTTGAATGTTGACATTATTGTTTTTGAATGTTTAGAATGAATGCAAATACAGCTTTTTACAGAATGGTAAATTCTATTTAGTGCTAGAGATGTATATGAAATCATTGACACAAACCAGTTGAAGGAATAAACTTTAATTAAAAAACAAATGAACATAATTTGCAATGTTATACTTTTTCCTATAGTGACTAGTTAAAGATACAAACACTAAACAATATTCTCTACCTAAATAAACATGTATTATACAAACATGGATGGTCGTATTCCGAGCTGATCTGAACTACTGGTACCATAGAATCCATACTGTATGTACTGAACAAAGGTAATCTCAGCTCAGCACAGAAGTTTGAATGATTAAAGGGGGAAACTGTATCTAGTTTTGTGCTAATACAGTCAAACCTGTGAGTGAGGCAATAATAATGTATGAGCAGCTTCTGTATAAAGACCACCTTTCAGTAATATTTTTGCAGAATAACCATTGTTTAGAAACCAAAATAATAATTAGCGTTCAAATAATGTGTTTTTTGTTTGTTTCACACCATTTCATTATTTTTAGATGAAATTCATGAGTTGACGATCCATAAAAATATAATCTAGCCTCCAGACTGGCTGT